TTAAAAAAAAAAAATACAAAAAAAAAAAAAAAAAAAAAAAAAAAGAAAAAGATAATTACCAAGGGTCATTTGAAAGACACACATCCCACCTCTTTCTTCAGATAGCCTAATTTTCTCTCTCTCTCTCTCTCTCCCCGCTATTCTCTACCGAGTGAGCTTCCCAGCCAGACCCTTAGTCTTCTCTTTGTAAATTGATGTATGACATGCATAGAGTTATGTGCAGAAATGCACTAATCTTATGTATAAAACCCGATACATTTTTATACATTTACAGACATGTGTACCCCCTATTCTCTACCGAGTGAGCTTCCCAGCCAGACCCTTAGTCTTCTCTTTGTAAATTGATGTATGACATGCATAGAGTTATGTGAAGAAATGCACTAATCTTATGTATAAAACCCGATACATTTTTATACATTTACAGACATGTGTACATACCACCCAAGTCGAAATATAGAACATTTTCAACACTTCAAATTTCCTCATGCCTTTTCCCAGTAAATACCCTCCCAAAGATAACCACTATTCTGACTTCTATTGCAACAAATTAGTTTTGCTAGTTTTAAAAAATTATATAAATAGAACCATACGGAATATACTTTTTTGTTTCCAGCTTCTTTCACTCCATGTTTGTGAGATTTATCCATGTTGTGTGTAGCAGTAATCTGTTCTTTTTTATTGTGGTGTAGTATTCCACCATATGAAATATTATAATTTATTCCTTTTTTTCTTGATGTTCATTTGCATTTTTTCCAATGCTGGTCTATTTTGATAGATATTCTTTGTTTTATTCTTGATCAAAACAGACTGTCAAAAAAGATAGGTTTATCAACTACTGTAATGTTCTCATTAACCTAGGTACCAATGAAAAGCTTATTTCTGTTAGAAAATGTTTACTTTTATCCTTATGTACAATGAAAATTATGTAATGAATCTCTGCTCTGGTTTGCTTTATCTATAAAAACAAAATTCAAATTTGAAGTCCAACTTCAATCTTTCTAAATGAAGGCATTTCATAAAATAACCATTATTTTAACTCTTCCCTAGTTTTAATCTTCCAACTCTGTTTCCTCTGAAAATATGTTTTATGTATATAGGCATTTCTAATTTACTGTATGGTTTACTGCAATCCCCTTAAATTGCACAATAGAGAATAAGGCAGGGAAAAACTATACTATTTAACATTTACCTGGAACTCAGTCATTTCCTCTTCTTTCTGGGAAGGGACAGGGCCTGAGGAGGCAGAGCTGAAGAAGAAAATAAAAGCCATTAGAAGAGGGCTTTCTTATGGTTTCAGAAACCTGCACCCACAAGGTAGATTAAAGGTTGCCCTGCAGTGGAATGATACTTGGATCCATCAGAAAGGCCAAGAATATTCACAACACAGAGATACTAATAGGTATAAGGATGAATGGTATGATCATGTGGAGCTTAGGCATAGGGTGGATATAAACAGGAATGCATACATGGTAGATGCCCCATGGATTTATCAATATCTCTGTATCAGAGAATACATATAACATCATGAAAGCATATACCCAAGAAAATTACAAAACTGACAAGTTTCATAAACACCAAAGGTATTTTAGTGTATTGGGCCATTTGAAAAAGAAATAAGTAGCAATTAAATGAGAATTTAATGCACGCACATACAGCCAACTGATTTTCAATGAAGACGCCAAGAATATACAGTGGGAAAGAACAGGCTCTTCAAAAATGGTGCTAGGAACAAGAAAAGACTCTGAATTTCCAAAGCAATCCTGAGCAAAAAATATAAAGCTGGAGGCATCACACCACCTGACTTCAAATTATACTACAAAGCTATAGTAACCAAAACCAGCATGGTACTGGCAGAAAAATAGACACTTGGACCAGTGGAGCAGAATAGAGAACCCAGAAATCACCCCTCAGGCTTAAAACCATCTGATATTTGACAAAGGCAACAAAAACATACATTGGGGAAAAGACTGCCTCTTCAATAAGAGGTGCTGGGAAAATTGGGTATCTATATGCAGAAGAATGAAACTAGACATGCACCTCTCATAATGTACTAGGATCAACTAAAAATGGATTAAAGGCTTAAGTATAAGACCTTCAGGGTAAAACTATGTAAAATTACTAAGGAAAAATATAGGGGAAACACTTCATAAAGCACAGACTTTATGACCAACAGCCCGAAAGCACGAGCAACAAAAGAGAAAATAAACAAATGGGACTATATCAAATAAAAAGCTTCTGTACAGCAAAGGAAACAATCAACAGAGTGAAATAACAACCTACAGAGTAGGAGAAAATTTTTGCAAACTATATATACAACAAGCGAGTAATATCCAGAATATACAAGGAATTCAAGCAATTACACAGTAAAAAACCATATAACCCAATTAAAAAATGGGCAAAGGAGCTGAACAGGCATTTTTCAAAGGAAGACACACAAATGGCCAACAGGTACCTGAAAAAAATGCTCAATGTCACTAAGTATCAGGGAAATACAAATTAAAACCACATTGAGATATCACCTCACCCCAGTTAGACTGTCTATAATAAAAAAAAAAAAAAGGAGAATAACAAATGCTGGCAAAGATGTGGAGAGAAGGGAATGCTCCTACATTGTTGATGGGACTGTAAATTAGTACAACCACTATGGAAAACAGTATGGAGGTTTCTCAAACAACTACAGATAGATCCACCATATGATCTAGCAATCCCACTTCTGGGTATATACCCAAAGGAATGGAAATCATCATGTTGAAGGAATACCTGCACTCCCATGTTTATCACAGCTCTGTTTACAATAGCCAAGACATGGAACCAACCTAAATGTCCATCAATGGACAACTGGATAAGGAAAATGTGGTATATATACACCATAGAATACTACTTTGCCATAAAAAAAGAAAGAAATTCTTTCAACAACATGGGTAAGTTTGGAGAAACATGTTGAGTGAAATAAGCAAAGCAAAGAGGGAAAAATACCACATGTCCTCATTCATTAGTGTGAGCTAAGAGAGAAAAAAGGAAGGAAAGAAAGTCTGTGTTGGACTTGCAGAGGGAGAGTGCATACCTAGGTATACAAAGTGGGGTGGGGGAAAAGGGGTGGGGAGGGAGGTCAGGGATTAATTGTGGGCCATTTGCAACAACATGGGTAAGTTTGGAGAAACATGTTGAGTGAAATAAGCAAAGCAAAGAGGGAAAAATACCACATGTCCTCATTCATTAGTGTGAGCTAAGAGAGAAAAAAGGAAGGAAAGAAAGTCTGTGTTGGACTTGCAGAGGGAGAGTGCATACCTAGGTATACAAAGTGGGGTGGGGGAAAAGGGGTGGGGAGGGAGGTCAGGGATTAATTGTGGGGGGGACATGGGGTATAATCATAATTTGGGGTAATGGGCATGCTGCCAATATTGATCTGGCCATCACATCTTGAGCACAAGTGATGACAGTCAGCTTTGTACCCCATGAATACTCATAACAACAAAAGCTAGATCCAAGATGCTGTCTACAAAAGACTCATCTCACCTGCAAAGACGCAAACAGACTAACAGTGAAGGGATGGAAAAAGATATGTCACACAAATGGAAATCAAAGAAAGAGCAGGAAGAGCAATTCCTATATCAGATAAAATAGACTTTAAACCAAAAACCATAAAAAGAAACAAAGAAGGCTACTATACAATGATAAAGAGATCTATCCAACAAGAAGAAATAACAATCATTAATACGTATGTACCCAACACCCAGAGCACCGAGAAATACAAAGCAAACACTGTTAGACATAAAGAAAAACATAGATCACAATACTATAATAGTTGGGGACCTGAACAACCATCTCTCAGCATTGGACAGATCATCTAGGCAACAAATCAACAAACACAGGATTTAAACTACACATTAGACTAATTGGACTTGGCAGATATCTATAGAACATTTCATCCAACAACTTTAGAATATACTTTCTTCTCATCAGTACATGGAACATTCTCCAAGAGAGACCACAAGTTAGGTTACAAATGAAATCTCAACAAATTTTTAAAAACTGAAATTTCAACTACCTTTTGGAACACAACATATTAAAACTAGAAATTAATAACAAGTGAAACTCTGGAAACTATACAGTTACATGGAAGTTAAACAACATGCTCCTGACCAACCTGTGGGTCCAAGAGAAATTGAACAGAAAATAAAAAACTTTCTTGAAACTAATGAAAATAAAGACATCATACTAAAACCTGTGGGATACTGCAAAAGCAGTACTAAGAGGGAAGTTTATAGGAATAAACACATCAAAAGAATGGAAAGGTCTCAAATTAACAACCTAACACTACACCTCAAAGAACTAGAAAAACAAGAACAATCCAATCCCAAAATTAGTACATGGAAAGAAATAACTGAGATCAGAACAGAACTAAGTGAAATAGAGACCAAAGAGGGGAAAAAAAATTGATGAAATAAAAAGTAGTTTTTTTGAAAAGGTAAACAAAATAGACAATTAGCTAGGTTAGAGGAAAAAAAGAAGAAAAGACTTAAATAACAAAAATCAAAAATGAAAAAGGAGACATTACAACCAATTTCACAGAAATACAAAGACTCATCAGAAACTATTAATAACAACTATACACCAACAAACTTGAAAACCTGGAGGAAATGGATAAATTTATGGACACATACAAACTATCAAGACTGAACCAAGAAGAAATAGAAAACCTGCACAGACCAATAATAAGTAATGAGATTGAAGCACTAATCAGCAGTCTCCCAACAAAGAAAAGCCCAGGACTGGATACTGCTTAATTCTACCAAACATTTTAAAAGGAATTTATACCAATTCTCTTCAAACTTTTCCAAAATATTGAAAGAGGCCATTCTCCCAAACTCATTCTATGAGGCCAACATCACCCTGATACCAAAATCAGACAAAGATACAACAAAAAAAGAAAACTGCATGCCAATATCTCTGATAAACATAGGCAAAAAATCATCAATAAGATATTAGCAAATAGAATACAGCAACACATCAAAAAAATATATGCCATGATCATGTGGGATTCAACCCAGGGATGCAAGGATAGTTAAATATACACAAGTGTAAAAATGTGATACACCACATCAACAAAACCAAGGACAAAAACCATATGATTATCTCAATAAGTGCAGAAAAAGTATTTGACAAAATTCAATATCCCCTTATGATAAAGACTCAGCAAATTAGGTACAGAATAAAAGTATCTCAACACAATAAAAGCCATATACAACAAACCTACCACCAATGTCATCCTGAATAGGGAGAATCTCAAAGCTTTCCCCTTAAGAACAGGAGCAAGACAAGGATGCCCATCTCACACTCCTATTTAACATAGTATTGGAAGTACTAGCCAGAGTAATCAGGCAAAAGAAAGAAATAAAGGCCATCCAGATTGGAAAAAACAAAGTCAAACTGTCCCTGTTTGCAGATGACACAATCCTACATAGAGAAAAACCTAAAGACTCTACCAAAAAACTTTTAGAGCTGATTAACAATTTCAGTAAAGTTGCAGGATACAAAATCATCACACAAAAATCAGTAGCATTTGTATACTCCCATAACAAACTAGCAGAAAAAGAAATCAAGAAAGCAACCCATTTACAATAGTCACCAGAAAATAAAATACCTAGGTACCAATTTAACCAAGGAGGTGAAAGATCTGAACAATGAGAATTACAAATCACTGCTGGAAGAAACTGAAGAGGACACAAAAAGACAGAAAGACATTTCATGCTCTTGGACTGGAAGAATAAACATTGTGAAAATGTTCATACTACCCAAAGCAATCTACAGGTTCAATGCAATCCCCATCAAAATACCAATGACATTTTTCACAGAAATTGAAAAAAATAATTGCGGGGGCGCCTCCCACTCATAAGATTAAAGCCTGATGAAAATCTTTTAATGAAACACGATGTTTACAGGGCCTCATCGTGAAAGGATGATGGCAAGGCCTCATCGTGGGAGAAGATGCCGGCGTTCCACCTTGATTTTCTGGAGCTCTGTGTGCTTGTTATGCTTTATTACATTTTATTCTTTGCTGCCTCATAACTATCGCTCTGGGAGACTTGGAAACTCTGGGAGACTTGGAAG